GCCAAAATTAATTTGGGATGCCAAAATTAATTTGGGATGCCAAAATTAATTTGGGATGCCAAAATTAATTTGGGATGTCAAAATTAATTTGGGGTGCCAAAATTAATTTGGGATTTGGAACTTTTTGATCCTCGGTCCCAAATAATTTTGGCATATTTTGGCAACCATAATGCCAAAATAATTTGGGATTTGGGCGGCAGGTATACTGGTAGCATCAATATTTGCGAAGTTATCAAAATTTAAAAAAACGTTTATGAAAAATTGAATGAAAATTTTTCATACGATTTTCACAGATATTTTTTCTTTAAACTAGAGATAACTTCACGAAAATTATATCATTTTGTGGCTAAGAATAAGGCCTTTCTTTCTATCTTAGAAATATCTTAGCTCTGTGCTAGTAAATTATGAGTAAAATTGAAAAAATATAAAAAAACTTGTGCAAATTTTTGCCTCACCAGTGGCGATCATATTTAAATCAAAAATAACCGGTTCGGTTCAGTTTAATCTGGTTTGGTTTCAGTTCAGTTTTGGTTTGAGTAATCAGTTCTCAGTTTCAAACCGAACTGAACTGAACCATTGAGAACTTTACCATTAACATTTGTACTCGACTATATAGTTAATAGTCGATTAATTACAATTTTGTATTTGTGATTCCTAACATTACTCACAAGTATTTCCACGAACCAGTAAAAGGTGAGGAGAGGAAAGGTAAAGGGAGGAGAGAAAAGGTAAAGGCAAAAGACATAAGTTTTATTTATTTTTTTTAAAAAAAAAAAAAGAAAAAAAAAAACTCACCTTTAACCATACATTCGTGAAGTTGATTTTGACAATTTCAACTTCCACAAGTGTTTTCACGAACTAGTAAAAGGTGAGGAGAAGAAGGTAAGAGACAAGGTAAGTATAAGTTTTATTTATTTTTCTTAAAAAAAAAAAAAAAGAAAGAGAAAGATAAAAATAAAATTTTTAAAAAAACTGATTATCAAGTTACACAGAAATTACAAATTTTTATCATAATTCTATTTATTGAATTTATGATTTTTTAAAATATCGGGTACCTGAAATTCGATATTAATAACAATATTAAGCACTAGACAAAGAAATATTATTTATTATCCACAATATAAAAATTATAAATATTGGCATCTGATATATATCTGATATTTTTGATTTTGACTTGTGTACTTGATATATATTTAACAAATCATGTACATGATATATATTACAAAAATCAGGCACCAGAATAAATATTAGTTATATTTAATACACTTATCGGGAGCATAAAAATTTTTAAAAAAAAATTAAAAAAATATATTGGGTGCCCGATTTTTATTAGGTAACAATAGATCCCTGACATATTTATATTACACCTATCGGGAACATATCAGTTGCCTATCGGTTATCTATCAGCCATCCCGATAACTATCCAATTGGCTCCTAATATATATCTGAAATATGGATTTCGACCAGTGGTAGAGGTCGAGATATTGCATTTAATTTACAAAAAATTGAATCAGAACTTGTAAATTCTTTAGTTTATGAAAAAGTTTTTATTGATACAGTAAATGATTCCCAGTTATACATGAGACCATTCACATATCATATGGAATTATTTCAAAGATATATAAGAATATTAGGTAAAATCAAAGATTTGATTCCACAACAATCTATTCCAATAGATAAAGTAGCTTTAATTCTTTCTACTTCAATCTCATCTTCAGGGTATCAATATTTGACATTTGATAATGCATCCAAATTACTTTCTTCCTTGGAAATTCTACTTTGTTTTGTCAAAAAAATTTTAGTAGGAGATGGAGAAATTCTGATTAATGAATATGTTAATCAATGGATGAAACTTTCAAATCTACTTGATAATGAATCATTCATTGGTATTCTAAATACAAGTTTGAAATTGAAACATTTAGTAGCATTATATGAATTGGTCGAAGAACAAGTTGCAAATGGTGTTATCAAATAT